CTGATAAATATATTCTGTTTAGTAAGTTTTTTAATAGTTTTTGTGTTTCACTCTAATTGCCAGGTTTCATGTCCGAGCAGGAAACTGGGTACAAGTTATAAAATTGCACAAATTGGTGCGTGACCTACATTATCTGGAAGGGCAAAATTAATTAAAAGGCTAAGTTTGGTGGAAATCGAGTCAATATTTCAAAAATTATAGCCATTAAAAAAGTTTAACATATTTGAGCAGCTTCAAGTTCTTAGATAGTCATCTGAACTAAACAACATTTTGGGATATTATCAATTTCGATGTGCTCTTCGAGATTATATAGGTAACTTGGCGATTTTTTCAATTTTCAATTTCGAACCCAGCCTCCTGCTCGGACATGAAAGCTGGCATTTATATTTTTCAGCGTTATGAAGCGTTAGAATCATCAACCATTCAACGATTACATACATGCAATTGTCTGAATGTCATTGATACTCAAAGCTTTGTTGATGACCAAAATTCTGTTTATGTATCCATAGAAGTTCTTTTTTGATCCCAATTTGAGGTTCGTCTTGTTTATAGACGGAAATGTACTGCTTGCCCAGGTTCTTATCTTTGTACCATCGATGACAAAATGCCTCTCGTACCCCAAGCTCTCGTTCTCTTGTTCAGGGCCGAAAACGTAAGGCTCTGGGCTATCGTAATTTTCTGAGAATTGTGATTGGTTCTTAAAATAGAAACAAACATAATGCCGCCGAAAGTGAAATTACACCAATGAAAACATGCAAATTCATGTTTTATCTCAGCATTTTACCTTAGATTCTTTCTTTAAAATAATTTATCAAGTCATTCAAGTAAGAAATTGTGATGAACAAGATCAATAATGCATTATCATAATACAGTTCAATTAATTTAGCCGCGACGAACTGTCGCGCCAACTAACCAACAGTCGCGATCGGAAAACATTCCAAAACTTTATATGATCAGACCATAATCTAACCGAATTTACTTTGTCGAAGGTATAGATCGATCWCTTGGGATCTTGTACGTTCCTGTTTTGACTTTCTTTAAGGCGATTTTCTCGAAAAAATTTGATCGAGAGCCATTTGGATAACGAGCCATGCGCAATTGAAACCGGACGACATAAATCCGTAGTAGAAATTCCGTTATTTCATAGTCTAATGTTTGTCGACGGCGCTGGCCAAGAAAAACGAAGGGTCGGGGTAGGAGATTGATAAAAAAATACAAATAACAATGAAACACGGACTCATATTCCAGGCTTAGAGATGGTAGTTTATGGGAGATGGCCTGGTTACTAGACCTTCTCCATGCTTGATTCTTTATTGATAGTTTTACTGTTTTCGTGGTCCATTTAAATCAATAATTTTAAGCTGTTTCACAAGCTATCGAGAGCAAATGTATCGCTAAAGTTTGAGACCAAAGTAACGAATTCTCTGATTGGCAGGGTCGTTTAAAAGAACAACTTGTTATTTTAAGATCATTATTGACGACACATTTTGCGTGTTTTAGCAAACCTGTTGAATTACACCTTACAAGCGGTGAATTCCCACCCATATGCCTCAAAAGCAGGGGGAGGCAATATTCGAAAGAAACGTTTCTCTGGATATTCTATGCAAGTTGAATGAATGTGCTGAAATATGCCAACTGTAATAGCTTTTACAATTAGCGTTTACAATTTGCACCTTCAAAAACATTCAAGGGTGATTGTCTGAAAATTTTGTAAGTGCTTTAGTAAGTGCTTTGATGCTATTCCTTTTGCCTTCATAAAATGCTTTCATAAATTTCGACTGATGAAGTGATGAAATGCACAAAAGTGCTTCCATATGTTTCGGAAACCTTCCTTTCTTGGCAGAGCAAGCTACTTTGRAATATGAATGAAAAAAATAATAATGCTGGCTCAATTTTGCCGTCAATTCCATCCTTGCAGTCTTGCAATGAAGGCCTTCCCTGAACCAACACACACGGCCTCGGCAAATTAATCGATTCCATTTAAAGATGTAATGCCTTTGATTATTTACTTACGGATTTTCATAGGTTAGGTCATCGGTGATCTGCACGGAAAGCAAAAGCCTTCCCGTCTTGTAATAAAAAAATATAGCCCTTTTTGACTGGTCAAAAATCTCCATAGGGTGAACCCATAGTCCGACTTTTTTATCAGTGAGAGGCTTCATCCAAAATGCAATAGTAAAACTAACTGGACTGAAGTCGACTGCAGGAATATGCACATATCCGTCTTTTCCAGTAAAATGTAGAGCAGTAAATCCATCTACGGYTTTGTACAGCACATCGCCATCCGTTCCTTTCAACCTACAATGTAGAAATATAGTCAATTCATKCTGATATAATCTGGTACGCTTTCCATTACGCCATGTTGATATAGCAGAATAGTATGCAAAATCGCTTTAATTACTTTACAAATAGTTACTATAAATATACTATAATAGTTACTATAATTATTCAGTTAACTTAAAACTACTAACAAAACATTTTTAGGAAATAGTAAACATGTTGGTATGTATGATTTACGTTATCCAGTATCAGATTACGATTAGTGCACACGTTTGATGTGACTACGAGATCTACCCGACCAATTTTCGTAATATGTAATCGCACATTTTCCTTTGATAATTACGTTGGTGCTAGCTTTATCTAACCGGGCCAAAGTTGCAGATTTATGTGACAGTATTTGACTCTCCAAGTGGATTGATTGGCAATGGCATAAGATATACACGATGGGGGCATTTGACTCCTCAACAGCARGAAGCAACATTCCRTGCAATCACAAAACTAATGAATGTAATACCTCCACTTGGTTTCGTTTAAAAAAAAAACAAATATTTTTTAGAATTCTAATTAATTAAATCACTAGTCGACGTGAACAAATAAAGTCACAACKATCCGAAAGCTCGGAAAATAAAACATATACAAACGTAGACGAAGCAGTGTTTAGAATATGACTCCTACGTACAGAGAAATATTAAAAAGTCACAAGTTATTGTCCAAGAAGAAAACGAACAAAATCACTGGAAACTGCGCGCATAACTTTGTTATTGTTACTTGCAGGTTTTTGCTCTTTTTTTCTAGTCAACGAGCTCATTGAATTTTTAAGAGGAGGATTTCATTCTCAGCCTTTCTTGTCAAGACACCGGTTTGAATCCCTTCGACTTTTCACTTTTGTTTTTAGTAGTCTGTAGAGGTATGTTCTGGCTTCTTTTGAGCTTTTACATCTTGACACATCGTTTTTTTTTTCTTCCAATACAATCCTTTTTGAGCTATCTTTAAATTATGGTGAATACTTATCGAGCATTTCTAAGCTGTCTTTATTAGACTCATGCTTGCCGTCCTCATGAGTAACCAGTTGAGTCAACCACTTCCCTAGCCGTTCATACAACAAATCCAAGTGCTTTAAGTAGCATTTTCGGTGGAGCTAACATCAGCAAAATATCCGACTGTCCGTTCAAAATATTCAAAGGTATAGTCAAGATCCAACAACGGAAAAATCGAGAGTGACGATGAAAATTGAACATTCGCTAAAATCACTGCAAGGTCTGCACGTGTTGACGTTTTCAATCGTCTTAATTTTGACGTACTTTCCAACTATTTTTACAAACTTTTGGATGTTCTGAAACTTTTTAAGCTAAATTACCGTGTTTTGTGGAATAAAAACGGTTTTGTGACATAAATTGTGCTATATTAAACACATTTTCAAACAAATTGTTGTATTTTTTCGGCACTGGACATGACATTGAATGAACAAATGCGCGCGCAAGAGGAAGTGTTAAATCACTTCCGTTCTTTTATTTTGCTCACGTTATATATTTTATATTTTTTTTATTAAGAGAGCCATATAATAAATAACTTATTAACCTCGTCCGTTCGGTCATTACAGGGAAATCTCAGACCTCGGTCTTGTTTGTATGGACCTCGCTATCGCTCGGTCCATACTTCCAAGACCTCGGTCTGAGATTTCCCTGTAATGACCTCACTCTCGGTTAATAAGTAGTATATA